CGACCATCGCAATTGTCATCATATGACGCCTTTCAATTTTTTTGTTATCGGCAATAAATACAAATAAAAATCGGCCCACTAGGTCACTTGCAGCTGAAATGGTTACGAGGATTCCAATTAATTCTGTTTGTAATCCTTGATCCTTAGCAAAAGGTGGAATATAAGTTATAGGAATACTGCAGGCTCCACAGACGAGAACTGAGAAAGATATTAAAAGGATAAACTGACCATTCTTAAATAAAGAAAAGTCAAATAAAGTAAATAAAAACTTCATACAACAATTCCTGCTTTTTTCACTGTGATCAATGTCCTTGTCAATTTCCAATTTGGAATTAGCTAAATTATTTCCATCCATAGAGATTGTCACTGAAATGTTAGCTAAACTTCCCATCAGTTTAGAGGGCTTTACTTGTATATTTCTGTCATCTTCAGTGCTACTTATACTTTGCTGTGAGTTTCCACTGCTATCAAAACGTTTTGCACTTAGTTTTTCTCTCACTTCATTTTCAAGTTCATCTTTTATTCTGTCATTTGAAGAACACTTTTTATCAGAAAGTCCATTAACCATTTTATCGTGGTCATTGTCTTTTTCATCTATGTCAGGAACTGCAGTTGCCTTCCTTTCAATCGGCCTCATCAACATCCCAATGGGAATGAAATGAAGAAAAATTCCCCCAGCTGTGATGAGCGCCCCTTGTAGTCCATATAATTCAAACAAGTAAGCAAAGAAAGGCGGTAAAGCCAATCCTCCGAGGCTTCCACCGACATTTGCAATCGCATTAGCCATCCCTCTGCGTTTCTCAAAATATTTACCAAGTATCAATGTGCATGGAGTATGGGCCGTCACTGCCGTTAATGCTAAGAAAAAAAAGTCCCTAATTTCATTTTTGTTTTCTTGACTATTGCTGCAAAAAATCAATTTTGAAATACAAGATGTGATTGAGAAACTCACCAAACAAAGTACTTTGGGTGAAGAACAAGACTGAAGAATGAGTGGCAAATGCGTTACCTAGGCTTGAGCTGAGCCCAAACAATGCAGCACTAATTATCAAAGACTGTTCTCCAAAGAACCGTGTTCCGATTCCCATGACAACGATGGCTAAAACAGAAATTAAGATATTTTGGTCAAACTTCTATGGATATCTGATTTCTTATTTCCGCTGGATATATTAAACGATATGTCTACCTGTACACAAATCTTGATTTGATATGGATATGGTCTTTCATTAGTTAAGAAGATCATGCAACATTTTTTTAAGAAGTACAAATTCAAAAATCCAAAAATTTACAATGAACATTTTGAAAACTTATGGTGATTAATATTTTGAGGTATAAACATTTATCAAAACACCATCTATAACTATCTCTTAAATGGAATACTGTTTATTTAATATTTTGTTCTTGTGTAAAATCAGAGGGAAAGTGTGAATGTGTGTGAGAATGTGACTAAAACTCTCATTATGCAACTTGACATGTCACTTTTTGAAATTAAAAAAAAAGTACGAAAAAAGAAATATTTTCAAAGATAGAATAAACAAGCCATTTTTTCATAAAAAGAGAAGAATCGCATAAATGAAGATACTTACATAAAACACTTGCAATAATTGTTTGAACAGATAGTACCATAGATATCACAGACGATGTTGCCGAAAATTTTTTCTGATATTCCACGAAAAATAAGCCAAAAGACTTGAACATCCCAAGTATTATTAAATACTCCATGAAACACCCTGTAAGAGATTTAGAACCATTATTCTTTTTTAGTAAAAATGCGATTTCAAGTTTGAGGGTTTTGTATGCTTCAATTTCTTTTTCAATCAATTCTTGTTTAGGTTATGGTTAGAAAGAATTCCTTTCTATTTAACTTATTAGCTCAGTATATTGTAAAATAATAATGACAATTCTAATCCAGTCAAACCTGTTCAATATTCATGTAGACAATCAGGAATGTTTCTTTTATATTTCAATTTTTCATTCCCAAAATTTCTGTCAATTTTTAAAAATGTAAACAATTTACGCGGTTGGTTTTGGGGTGTACCATTAACCCTGGTTCCTAGTAAGGTTATTATAACGACCCTAAAAATTACAAAGAGTCAGTCTTTTCTATCGTCATCTTCCCTTACTTATGCAGCAATATACCTTCATCACCTTCATACAGAGTGTATATATCTCAGTTGATTCGATACGCAAGAACATGCTGTATGTATGAACCATTTCTAAAAGGAAGTAAATTATTGACAAGCAAGTTGATGAAACAAGAATATCAGCAGTCTCGTTTAAAGTAATCATTTCGTAAGTTCTATGGTCGATACAATGACCTTGTCAGCAAATACAATTTATCATTGAGTCGAATGCTAACTGACGTTTTTCATACTAATTGTTAGTCCATTAATTATTCACTGAATTGACGACGGATTTTTCCGTTATTTCCCGAACATGACAAGAAGCACAAGGTGGGTGTGACCGGTCAGCAGGGGATGCTCACTCCTTCATGGCACCTGATTCCACCTCTGATGTTTCGGAGGTCCGTGTTTGCTCTGCTCCTATTCTGTACCGTTTAATGGACTTTGATATTGAATACTGTTCGTTATCTCCACATCCTTCTTTAAAGTGACAATATGACGCATCTCTTCAAAAACAGACTTGTTAAAATTTTCCTGTAGGATTTGGAATTTTCTTCATACTCATAAATGTATACACTTTCAGAAAATTACAAATTTCATAAGTAAATAATTCTGATTATTTCATTAAAATTAATAATTATTTATGGTACATAAATATATACATCGCAACGTGTTCGAGGTTCCACATTCCATGCTATATACGCATGCCTATAGTTTTCATAAACAAAACAGCATGGTAAGAGAGGGAAGCCTGCTACGTTGACAAAGTCGACCAAAACGAAAAATAAAACCAAAAATAGGGCTTGAAATTAAAAAGCAACTTTCCTGACAAAAATTTAGCTGGGAGATTAATATAATCATTGGATGAAGAAGAAACAGGATCTCTTCGACATTCACGTGGGGCTCGCGAAGGTTCTACCCTACAGGTTTGTTGATACATGCTATCTATCATTTCTCGTATCTCCATGACTTTCAAAGAAAAAAAAAATCAGAGTAAACTCAACATAAAAATGCACTTATGACATATAAAAATTATTGCCATTTGAAGTGCAAATTGTATTGGAACTGCAGAAAGATATTTTATTTGACATTTTGCCGCGATGACGTATGATTTGGTGGATTTTCTTTTCCTGCACCCCAATACCCAAAACGTTAACATTTGTACTTAATCATGTTAAATTCGTCTGAATGCAGACTAAATGTTAACTATTATTAATTTACCGGAGAGTTAAGATATTTTGATTCTGAGAATTGCTTGTACCTAATATTCCATTGTAATTGTAAACACTACATTGTATGCACGTGCCATTTTAGAACTCACGTGGTACAAGTAAACAGATCTAAGTTGTACGACCCTTGATTTTCCGGCAGATTCTAATTACGTTAATTTTGTATGAGGAGAGAATATTTATTTTTCTAAAAAAGCTTACTTCAAATTTTTACCTTATTCCTTAATGATATATTGGGTAAATTTGAATGAAAAAGCACACAATTTGCAGCCGTATTGCCGCTTTAAGCGAAGGTGTTGGAATTACAGTTACATCAACATCTCTTAGTAACCTGTTTCAGTTAAAAAATTGATCTTACTAGAAGCATGTTCTTGACTTCGAATAAGGTTGTAGATGTTTTAAACAATGTATGGATGTGAATCATTAAGTCTGGCTTCTAAGATGAAAGTTTTTCTGTATCTCTTTCTGTTGGACTTTAGACATTGGCGACAAATAATTATAAATGAGTAAAACAGTTTTGTCAGATTTCTTAAATAGAATTCTAATAAGTATAAATCCTATGTACATGTACAATAGACTTTTTCTGTTTGTATACATGATACTCATCGAAGGATTTCTAACTGAACATACTGTAATTCAAATATACGATTTCCCCCCTAAAACAGATATTATGAGTGTCTTACACATGCCCTTGTGTCTAATGTCAATTGAAAAGCATAACAAAATAAAATGCAACATGCTAAATACATATAGCGTTTTAGTTTAAAATTATTATTGTTAATAATTTGATTAATAAAGATTTGAAAATATTCGCATAGCTATCTCACACAATAGACCCCTATACTGTATTTCTGATCAGTTTTTATCTGCTATCGGCCCATCTAAATCTTTTGCGTAAACGTCCTCTTCTAAGTACTGATGGATCTACACTAGAATTAAGTACATTCCATTATGAACAAAGAAGTTTTTAAATTCTGTTTTAAAGACTTACCAAATAGGACAACCCATGCCCAGCCTTTGTCAACAGATGATGATGTACTTTTCCGAAAATGAAACATTTTATTCACCGGTATTCCTATACGCACTACAGTACACAAGATTGTATGCAACACATATAATATTCTAAAACTATATAAACATTAAATAAATGTATGCATTTACAAGATCATTGTGACATATAGGTCTCATCATTTTGTACTTTTGCGATGTTATCTTCTTGCAAATTAAACAATGATATTAGAATAAATACGCCAAAACAGGTCAGAAACCTTTACGCTTTAAAAGAAATTCAAGTTGTCCCATGCAAAGGATATGGTATAAATATATCAATAAAAATTGAAGATACAGGTTAATCAATCTATCTATAAGGATAATCAATTTATTGAAATACACACAATCATCATAGATACAGTATAATTTAATAAAATATTACATTTTTTTAAAGAGAGATAATTAAGAACAGGAATTTAAAAAAATACCTACAAACTTTTTAAAGTTAGAATTCATCCTGTATAATTTTCCATTGCCTATGCACAAGTAGACATTTTTGATGAGTATAAATATGTCTAAATCCTCTTGGTTCTGGAGAAACAAAATGGGTTCTTCAAAGACAAATGTCTGAATACAAGTTCTTATTTTACACCTTCTTAGTTAAATACATGGAGATTTACAATTCACTTTTCAGACTTCTATTATATCTAAAGAGGCTATTCTAAGAAAAACTTAATGGATTGCCTTTTCTTCATCCCGGCTTATTCTAAGAAATATGAAGAGACTGGTTGCTTTTTCTTCCTACTGTTGAACATTATTATTTGCGTTATATAATAGACTACAGTGTTGATTGAAGAAAAAGCGTGTGTGGGTAGTTATATTTTTATTTTCACTGGAAATAATTCCTTATATCAGGCATTTAAAAAAAAATACAGGAAGTCAATACTTTCAGATACTGTAAATAAGCAATTTGAGAGTAAAATGCATGTGCTGCAATAGCATTTATTGTACTGTTCATTGTATACAGGTTAAGAACATCAATTTTTTGTTTGGTGACATATACTTCTGGTATCTAAAATCAAACACATTCACACCATAGAGATATTCGCCTATCGTATGAAAATATTCATCCATATTGTCATCTTGAAACACAAGGCTTGAAAAGTAGAATCATTCCCCCAACAATTGAGCATACTCCCATCAAAGAAAATCCTGAAACATAACTTCCAGTGGAGTCTCGTAAAATACCTGAAACAGAATGTTAAAGTCTGTCTATTCAGTGTATTAAAATATTTACCTCTCAATCATATTTAAAAATAAAAAACTACCTGTACTTCGTAAAATGCCATGCTTTTTTTATTAAAATTAATATATCTTGCACCAGCGAAAAAGCTTAACAATTATACATAAAACTAGAGCAAAGCTCGTTGCAAAGCAGCGAGTAAGTCTTCCGTCCTGTTTTGACCGGAAGTGACGTCAACAAAAGAAAACAATGAGCTAAGTCGTCTCCAGTCACTTTATTATTTCAATTTTGCATCAAAACCATAAAAAATAAGCTATTTTTGGCTATTTCCTGTTTGACCTGAAGTGATGTCGACGGACGGAAAATTAAGTTTTATGCTTCCAGTGACATATGTTACCCAAAAACTTGTTAAGAACGGCAAAAATACATTTTCTGTACTTCCGGTTTGACCGGAAGGGACGTCACCGGACGCATTTTGACGACTTCAATAGATTAAGCTTGACATTTTGAACAACTTTGCTTCTTGGACGTATTACAAATTCTCAATACTTTTTGAGATATATGGAAAAAATTTTGGCCCCTCTAGCTCCCTTAATTTAGGGGTCAGCCCTTTCTTCGAGATATCATTTGAAAGAAATGCACAAATTTTGTTCTATATGTTTTAACAAAATATTTTTAGTTTAGAAGATAAAAAGCAAAATATGTGTAAATTTTCGCTCTTTTAGGCGTTCTAATTTTTGACCCCTATATAGCACCGTTTTGAATAGTGGAATCGAAAAATAAAAACCGCTATGCGCAACTTCAATCCTTCTATTGTGTAAAATCAGTAAAATTTTTGCTCCAGCTTTTGCCATCTCCAAGCCTTTGTCTGGAAATGAAAGCCTATAAATTTTCGTTTAAAGGGAAATAACTCAAAACCGGAAGTGAATTTTTGGAATGCTAGACAAAATTCTGATAGAGTTTAGTAACGTCTATAAACTCCGAAAATTTGATCAAAATCCATTGAGAAATGAGTGAAATATTAAGCCTCAAAGTTGGCGTCTAGGAAAAGGAAAAAAAAAGAATAATAAGAATAATCTTAATCATCAGAATCAGTAGAAGGTCTTCCGTTGGAAACGGAAGACCTTAATAAAATCTGATAAACAAAAACCAAAAATTATAAATTTATATTCTTGTATTTCATATTGTATTTCTCATTGTAGTGCATTCTTAAGTAAATTCTATTACTTTTCTGTGTCTTACCTACAGCCATTGAAGTCACAGCTATGGATATTCCTCTCGTCACCGCAGCAAATGCTATTCCGTAGTTCAGTTTCTCCAACCCAATAAAATCAACTATCAGGACATTAATCATAGAAAAGTAAACGCCTCCAAACATAGCTTGAAGGATGCCAAAAATCGCTAGATATGTAAAATTTGTAGAAAAAAATGCCATGAAGCATGTAGCTCCATTGGCGATCATCGCAATTGTCATCATATGACGCCTTTCAATTTTCTTGTTATCGGCAATAAATACAAATAAAAATCGGCCCACTAGGTCACTTGCAGCTGAAATGGTTACGAGGATTCCAATCAATTCTGTTTGTAATCCTTGATCCTTAGCAAAAGGTGGAATATAAGTTATAGGAATACTGCAGGCTGCACAGACGAGAAGTGAAGAAGACATTAAGAGGATAAACTGACCATTTTTAAATAAGGAAAAGTCAAATAAAGTAAATAAAAATTGCATACAACAGTTTTTGCTTCTTTCACCTTGATCAAGGTCCTTGTCAATTTCCAATTTTGAATTAGCTATATTTATTCCTTCCATGGAAATTGTCACTGAAATGTTAGCTAAACTTCCCATCAGTTCAGAGGGCTTTACTTGTATGTTTCTGTCATCTTTAGAGCTACTTATACTTTGCTGTGAGTTCCCACTGCCATCAAAACGTTTTGCAATTAGTTTTTCTCCCACTTCATTTTCAATTTCATCTTTTATTCTATCATTTGAAGAAAACTTTTTATCAGAAAGTCCATTAACCATTTTATCGTGGTCAACGTCTTTTTCATCTATGTCTGGAACTGCATTTGCCTTTCTTTCAATCGGCCTCATCAACATCCCAATGGGAATGAAATGAAGAAAAATTCCTCCAGCTATGATGAGCGCCCCTTGCAGGCCATATACTTCAAACAAGTAAGCAAACAAAGGGGGTAAAGCCAATCCGCCGATGCTTCCACCGACATTTGCAATCGCATTAGCCATCCCTCTGCGTTTCTCAAAATATTTTCCAAGGATCAAGGTGGAGGGCGTATGTGCTGTAACCGAAGTTAAAGCTAAAAAAAAGATCCTTATTTAACAATTTTTTCTTGAATTTTGGTGTAAAAATCAATTTTGAAGTACGAGATGTGAATGAGAAACTCACCAAATAAAGTACTTTGGGTGAAGAACAAGACTGAAGACTGAGGGGCAAATGCGTTACCTAGGCTGGAGCCTAGCCCAAACAATGCACCACCGATTATCAAAGACCGCTCACCAAAGAACCGTGTTCCGATTCCCATGACGAGAATAGCTAAAACATAGATATAAGAAATTCGAACAATTTTAATAAAAACATTTAAAAATCTTATTCCTGTTGAATATTGTAAAAAGATACGTCTACAAACCTCAAACCTGTTGATCGGATGGAATTAATTTTCAATACTGAAAAAGAGCTTTAAGCCATAATTTAATTACAAATATGATCAGGGAGAAATAATTAATGAAGATACTTACATAGAACACTTGCTATAATTGTTTGAACAGATAGAACCATAGAAATCACTGACGATGTTGCCGAAAATTTCTTCTGATATTCCACAAAAAATAACCCAAAGGACTTGAACATCCCAAGTATTATTAAATACTCCATGAAACACCCTGTAAGAATTTTAAAATCAATATTTATTTTAATCAAAACGAAAATTCAAGTTAGAAAGATTTGTATATCAATTATTTTTTGTTTGAATAAATTATGGCTACAAAGAATACCTTTCTATATAAATTACTAGTATTAGATTGTGATAATGACAACTCTATTACAGTTTTTTTTTTAAATTTCACAATTTTATTTCAATAGTATATAAACAAAAAAGTGGAGGTAATACCTCCTCAGAGAGGCCCTCATAAATATATCTTCACCTGGGGTGCCAGGAGCTCCCTGAATCAGAAAGAATTAGTACATTTAATATTTGATATACATAAAATAGAACCATTGAAAAAATACAGTTATATGTATAGATAAATAACATAATATTCCACATAAATGTACTTTATATAACATTTTCATTATATATTTAGCATTAAGAAAAAAAAACAAAGTCAATTTCATAAGAGATATTCGCAGGGGGACACCGACGCACAAGAGTCGACATTTCCCCCTACGAAAGTATACCCCAAAGGCTAGGTCACCTTTGGATAAATATATAATATATAATTTCATAATGTTTCTGACAGTTCCTTGATGATATTGAAATCACATTCAATAGTTTTTGATAATTTTGTTATGAAATAGAACTGAGTAAGTGCATTTTTTAAGAAATACAATAAACTCTCATTAGTCGCACTCTCATTCAAAAAGTCTACATTTCATTTAATATTCATAGCGAGCGCAGCGAGCGTGCGAAGCGAAGCTCTTCACTGCGAGCTCTTAAAGCAACACCTGTGCGAAGAGAAAAGTCGGACTACTGCACATTGATTCGATAGAACTTTTTGACGCAGTAATTTGGACCCCCAATGCATCACTTGTTTTAGCTACGTTCTCGCGAGAATCACGGCAAATTTTCAACTAAAAGTTTACTCGCCTTAATTTCATGGTAACATATTGAAGATAAATAGTAAACGAAACGTTCTTCATTAACTTTCAGCACTGTTCAGGTTTTTTTCTTGGTATTGCAACGTACATACGACGTCATGTGACGTCAGAGTCTAGACGCACCAAATGTCACGTGCGGTTTGACGAGCCCGATCTAAATGAAAACAAAAGAAGAGTTTGCGCTCGCTCTAACGGTCGCACCGTCAACATATTATATTTTGTATTGTTTAAAATGAAAGTATTTTTATTACAATATGTTGGAAAACCAATGACAATAATTTTCCATGACACATCTATGTTTAAAAGCAATGTTATTTTACTCATGGGTTTTACTATACTACAATCAAAAATAAGGTGCTTTATGTCCTCCTCTACATTACAAATCGAACAGTTTACACTTAAGTCTTTTTTCCATTTACTAACATACTTATTACAGGCCGGTAAGTTATGCATTAATTTAAAATTAAACTCTGACACATTCCTATCAAATATTTCTTTGACTTTTTCCATGTAAATGTTCTCCCATAAGTGGAAATCATCAATGTTAAATATCTCAGCCCAAAATGTTTCCATTATAGGTTTTTTTTAAGGTTTGGGTAACACAATATTGTAGAAGAATTTAGATCTTTTGCCCTCAGCTTGTTCAAAATATTCTTGAAAGTTGAAGCGAAGTGTGGATTACATTTATTTGCTTTACATTGTAGGTTTATTTTTGGGATATGTTTTAAATGCACTTTTCACAATCAAGTACTCACAAAGGTATTTTTGGGAACACGTTAATTTTTCTTCAATTTCATTTATTGTTTTAAACCCTTGTTCATTAAAGAGATCATTAACATATTCAAAACCACTTTTGATCCAGTTTGAAAGAAACAGTGGGTTTTCTTTATAAGTTATGGTTTTGTTAAACCATTTACTCTGTAGCTGGAATTTTTCCTGATTGATTTGTTTACATTCACTGAATGCACATATTACTTCTTTATAAAACAGTGGGAGACATTTGATTCTGAAGTCTTGTATTTTGGTGATATTTGTATTCAACAAATAAGAGATATCTAAATTACATCTTCCTAAACAAGGGTAATTTTCTAACTTATCTAATTCACCTTTCTTGTGTATAAGAGAGAGAACTGAACATTTCTGTGTTGAGGTCAGCTCTTCATCGATATATATTTCAGATATAGCTTCGAACAGAAAATAACGAATGTTTTTCCAAAGTATTTTATAAAACTCGACAGGCAGCCCATCGAGACCTGGTGATTTATTATTTTTCATTCCAAGTACTGCCTCTGAAAATTCTTGCAAAGTGGGAAATTTTTCACAATCTTTTTTTTTTTTTATCTTTTTTCTGACAAAATAGATAATATATATAGTTGTTCTAGATATGCCTTGATACTTTCATTTGGTACATCGTTTGAAGAGTATAAATTTTCATAAAAATTACACAACTGGTTTAAGATTTCATTTTATTTTTACAAAAGTCGTACCTGCAGATGTTATTTTATTAATAACGTTTTTAGACTGATGCTTATTTTCAAGTCTTAAGAAGTAAGATGAATTTTTTTCTCCTTCATCTATCCATTTAGCTCTTGATCTTATTTGTGCTCCTTTTCCTTGTTTTCATATAGTTTATCGAGTTCATTTTCTAATTCTTTTTTATGTAACAAGTTGATATTTAAATAATGTTGATTCTCTATTTGTTCAAGTTCGTTTTCTATTTTTAGTTTTTTTTTTGTGTGTTTCTACTTTTTTCCTTGCAAAATTTTAAGCTGAGATGTTTTATTTTTAATTTAATCAGTTCCCGCTTAATTTTCGGATTTTCTTCTAGTTTAATATCATCTGGTAAGTTCGTTAAAAAAGAATTTATCGTTTCGCAATAGCTTGATGCAAGAAGCACAAATGTATTTAATTTCCAATATCCCTTTCTCCTACTATTCGATGAATTTTCACATTTAAATATAATAGCAATATGATCACTCATACTTGCATTTGAGACTGATGGTGGCCTACGCAAATAGATATTTTCTGGCTTGTAACAAAATTTTTTGTTAAAAAATACAAAGTTTATTCTGCTTTTTGGAGTGTTCCTTCCGTCACACCAAGTATAACCATTTTTATCTGTTTTTAAAGTTTTCCTTAAATCAACAGGATCAAAATGAAAATGTAAATTTTCAAAATGTTTGAACTTCTGTCGTTATCTTTTAAAATATCACAATTAAAATCGCCCAGTAGAATAATATTTTCGTCATTCATACAGTATTTTGAAATCCACCTAAGACATTTTCCTAACAAAAGTCAACCCTACAATTTTTGGTATTCGTTGTATATATATTTACAATTGTAATAATTCTACTATCGTGTTCAATGTTTAACAATATCATTCTACCGTCTGCTGATTTATGCTGATTTATGAGTTTAAAATGAAATTTTTCATTAATTAAAATTGAAACACATTTGCTTTGTGATGATGCGGAAAAACAGTGAAAGGATGTACCATTCCATCTTGAGTTATACATATATTCTCTCTCAAGTACAAAATGAGTTTCTTGTAAAAAAAGCAATATCACAATTACTATCATTTAACCAATCATATAAAATTTATTGTTTTCAAGGAATCCAAACCGGTACCCCAGTATAGGTCGTAAACAGAAAGGGGAAAACGTTGTATCGGGTCTGGAGGATGTAAGAAGATCTTTCATATCTTTGAGTTGATCTATCTTAGCGCACAAGATTTGCTCCATGACGTCATCGGCGTCGTTTCTCCATTCAGGGGTACTGGTAACTGTATTACCTATTAACTTGCATTGTAGAGCTGACTCTGTTACAGTTAAACCTTTTTAGTTCAATACTCATGTATACAATCAGGGATGTTTATTTCACATTCCCATTTTTCAATCCCCAAAATTCTTTAAGATAATCTTACACGATTTTAATAGACTTTGTGTCGAATATCAGTTTTATATCATGACGCAATAAAACGTGATATGCTAAAATTATTAAGTTTAAAATTATCATTCTTAATAAATTGTTAATAATGATTTGACATATTTACATATTTATCTGAAACAATCGATCTCTATCTTATATATCTTATCAGTATTAATACACTGTATGTACTACTAGTATTTTCCCCTATATCTTTTGCACATTTGTCTTCTTTAAGTACCGTTGGCTTTACACTAAACCAAGTACAATCCTTGATAAAATTTTTTTTTAAATTTTGTTTAAAGACTTACCAAACAGGACAACCCATGCCCAGCCTTTGTCAACAGATGATGATGTACTTTTCCGAAAATGAAACATTATCCTCACCAGTATTCCTACACACTACAGTGCATAAAGTTGCATGCCACAAATGTAATATTCTTAAAATAATTGAAGCATTAAATTAATGTAGGGATTTACTAACTAGATCATTGTGACTTTTTAATCGTATCATCTTCTATTTTAGCTATGTCGTCACCTTGTAAAGTAAATAATGATATCAGAATACGTTAAAACAGGTCAGAAACCGTAACGTTTTGTGGGAAAGAAATTTATCTTGTCCCTAGGAAGGATTAGGTAAAAATACATCAATAAAAATTGAAGATAAAGGCGGGATTATCAGTTTATGCAAATGCACACAATCATCATAGCAAAACTAGAATTTCAGAAAATAATACATTTTTTTCTAATCTAATTATTTAAGAGGAATGTTTTAAAACAGGAAATTTAATACATAAGACTTTTTAAAGTGAGAATCCATCCTTTTAAATTTTCCTTTGCCAATGCACCAGTAGACATTTTTGATGGGTATATGTGTAAATCCTTTTGGTTCTGGAGTTCCAACATGAGTTCTTCAAAGTAAACTGCCTGAAAACTGCCTGAAAACTATTTCTTATTTTACATAAAGAAGCAAAATAATAATTCTTTTAAGTGAAATTACATGGAGATTTTCAATTCACTTTTCAGACTTCTATATACTTCTATTTATTCATATAGAGAAAATTCAACACCATCAAAAGTTAATAATTATTTATTTGTATGTGGTGAGTATTGTCGTGGCATTATTCGTGGGTCGCAACACAAATCAACACAACATTGGCAGACCCACTTCAGCATCAACAACAAATCAATCAATCATCAATGAAATTCAGCAAATATAAACAAATTAACCACCTCGGGTAATCCGCGGACGGTTATTTAGTTAATCTTTACTAATTTACATCAGGGACCTATATACTAAGTATAAAGACCCCTGTTTACATACACAATCTGCAAATAATTATTTAATACAAAATGCAGTTTTTCTCCAATTTATCAAACCCAGTAACACAGCAATGCAGTTCCCATCAACACAACATTTTCACTCGATCAGTGTCAGCCATTAGTCAACAATTATTTCCCATTAACAGTACTTAGTTAACATATCAGCTGATTTTAGTGTGCGTAAACGCCAAATGGCTGCAAACGAGTAAACGTTTGCAGTCACCCCACAAGGGAGCACCAAGTCAACTGACCCACGACAATACTCATTGGCGTCGGAAGCAAATTGAAAGGGGGGGGGGGCTATGTCTAAAAAAAAATTTGTACCTTCAAAAAACCTGTCAAGCAAAAAAGAAAAGAAAGAAAAAATGTCCATTTCCCTAACATGAAAATCCTATTTCGTGGAGGGGGGGGGGGGGGTGTAGGTTCGAACTTCAGTACCAACACTTTTTTCCAAACACCACCACTTTCCCCATTTTTACCCTATACTAAGACATATCTGTGGAAAGTGGGGGGCCTAAACCTCCGAAGATATGTTCATTGTCTATACCAAGTATATATTTGGAAAAAAAAGTGGGGGGGGGGGCTAAGCCCCCCCTCCCCCGGTTCCGACGCCTATGATACTGAACTTCCCTACTTATTCCCTTCCAGATGGACTGATTCTAACTTTATCCGGAAGTATACCCCTTGTACCCTTGAGATTTTCATCTACCTGCGCCCCCCCCCCCCCCATTATTTCTAAAGAACAACCCAATTCATATGAGCAGTGGCTGGCCCTATTCTAAAGGAATGTGTTTTAAATTTTCCCCTATCCCTATAACTTTTTTTAGAATATTAAACTGATACTGGATAATAGGCTTTCATCCATAATGACAAACCAATGGTCCTTTGATTTTTATCCACAAGAGACAAATACTTAGACATGCACCTAACAGTGCATATATTTATTTATCGCAGAACTTGTATGCAAATATGACACAACAAATTAAAAGTTTAAAGTTTACTTGTGGCAAATTTTTGGCCGCGGTGGAAATAAGTACATTAATTATAATTGAAACAACATATAACTGCAAGGGGATGCCAGTTAGCAAGAGTAAGTCCCAAGCACACAACATATTTACATTTTATGAGATATTAATGACAAATTACATCAACAATCAACGTTAGATCAACATTTCAACATTATCAACAACTTCATTGTATTATCAACATCAACATCAAATTGTCAATATTTCAATGACTTTCAATTTGTCTTTCATCAACATCAAAATCAACAACTGTATTTTTCAATGACAACATGTTTACAATCAATTATGAAGGGATGCCAACAGCACCGGGTTGATTCGCATGTGTGTCAGCATCCCCCACAATATGCAATGCTACATTTCCGTAAGTTTTTATTTCCGGCATTGAACTTCAGTGGTTCTTCCGCAGCACCCATTCAGAAAGGAAATCAACTCCTGGGCTTTCCAACCCGACAATAGAGGTAGTTGTGTTGTTGACCAAAAGGAATTCACCAGTGCTACAAAATATAAAGTACCTGGCAGTAAAACATTTCAATCAACAGGTTTAAACGTATGCAGAATGGGTAGGGTGGGAGGGATTTCTTGTTGTGTTCCTACGTCTCAGCCTCGCTTCGTCATGATGTAAAAGGTCGATAACTCTTCCGAAAAAACTAAGGTTTGCAATTTCGCAATGAAAGGTTAAATAATAACTGCGCCTGCGATAACGGCGCATATCCAGCAGACTGCGCTGGGATATGCAGAATTATCGCAGAACTTGTATGCAAAGATGACACAACAAATTAAAAATTTAAAGTTTACTTGTGGCAAATTTTTGGCCGCGGTGGAAATAAGTACATTAATTATAATTGAAACAACATACAACTGCAAGGGGATGCCAGTTAGCAAGAGCAAGCCCCAAGCACACAACATATTTACATTTTATGAGACATTAATGACAAATTACATCAACAATCAACGTTAGATCAACATTTCAACATTATCAACAACTTCATTGTATTATCAACATCAACATCAAATTGTCAATATTTCAATGACTTTCAGTTTGTCTTTCATCAACATCAAAATCAACAATTGTATTTTTCAATGACAACATGTTTACAATCAATTATGAAGGGACGCCAACAGCACCGGGTTGATTCGCATGTGTGTCAGCATCCCCCACAATATGCAATGCTACATTTCCGTAAGTTTTTATTTCCGGCATGGAACTTGAGTGGTTCTTCCGCCACAAGATCGGAAGATCTCGCCAACAAGGGGGGTCCCTTATACGACCATCAGCACTTACTACTTCATACTGTAAAGTGAAACCCCCATGTTGGCAAGAACCACTCAAACTGCATAAAATTCCACCGCGGACCCAAAAACTCATAGAATTTCAACACTTTCCTGGATTCTCTTAACTGGACAGGAAACACCCTGAGTTGCTAGTATTGTCCACGTAGCCCTTTGCATATTGATAAGTTTTTGAGGAACGAACAGTAATTTCCAACATGTTTTGAGAAATATTTATGTCAGTAATTGCCAAGAGGGAGGCTGTTGTGTTACCCTTTGTTAATGAGAATTCTCCAACCCTTAGTAGAGCGTAATATGCAAGAGAACATGCTGCAGCAAAAAGACAAGCTTCGTACTTACTATTATAAATTGTTTGTAAGCTCGGGATAATATTATTCAAAATTTCTGTTGTAATTGGCCTGCGTTGATCTGAAGTGGGCTGTGTTCTCCTAAAACCTTCTAGTAGTTTAGAGACTATGTATGCTTTGGATGGGTCTACGAAAAACTGGGTTTTACATTTGAAACTTATTGCCGATATGTAATTGCGAGCTGTGGATGATGAGTACCCTTTAACTGACAAATAACCTAAAAACCTGATAATATGCTGCAAGTCTGGTGGCCAGACTTGAGTAATCCCCTGACTGTTACAGAATGTTTCGAATGCTTTGTGCCCTACGGCATGGGCCTGACTCGTGTTAGATGCCAGAGAAGACTTTAAAAGGTGATCTACTTCAATGTCCAAAGTAATTTGAGGAATTCGGGTGGTATTGGGACTGGGTTGACTTCGGCGTCCGGCATTTCTTGATGAAAACGAGGCCACTGCATCTGCGGCATTATTGTTTTTACCCTCAATGTGTTGTGCTCTAAATGATATGTTATTTTCCATCAGAGCCAATATCATGGGGCGAAGAAGTGACATTACTCTATCTGACCTAGATGATTGGTTATTTATTACATTAACTAATGCCATGTTGTCTATATGGAGTATGATTTTTTTATTCCGCAACTGGTTTTTCCAGCACATTATTGACAAAACTATTGGTACTAGTTCCAAAAATATTATGTCTGACATAATGTTCATGTTTTTCCACCCTGGAGGCCATTTAAGGAATGCCCATTTTTTTCCTTATATGGCCCCACAGCCCAGATCTGCATTTCCTGCACTATCTGTGTACAAGTGTAAGCTGGAATCCAAGTCCCAATGGTTTTGTTGAAAGTATGTTGACCCATTAAAATTTTCAAGAAAGCTAAGCCAAACTTGAAGGTCTTGTTTAACGGCAGATGTAATGCGAATATAGTGATGGGTTTTTTTTTATCCCTATCATTGCGTTATAAAATCGCTTATTGAATGCCCTACTTCCTCTAATTGTTTTGCTGACAAAATGTAATTTACCTACCATTGACTGCATTTGTTTCAGTGTGATTTTCTCCCTTTTCATGATGTCTTTCAGCAATACTTGTAATTCCTCCAGCGTTTCATTGGGGATTTTAATTGTTTGTGATACAGTGTCAATGACCAATCCGAGATAGGTAAGGGCAGTACAAGGGCCTTCTGTTTTATCATTATTAAGAGGGATACCTAATTCTTCACATAATTCCTTAAAGGTTCTCATGAATTGAGAACACTGGTTAGAGTTGCTGACCCCTATGAAGATAAAATCGTCAAGGTAATGATGTATTGTATTGACCCCTGTCCTAACCCTAACTGCTCATTCCAAGAAGGTTGTTAATTTCTCAAAAATGCTGCAAGAGATTGAACAACCAAATGGGAGGCACTTATCTACAAAGTAGTTAC